ATTAGTCATTTATAGTATTGACTACGCTGCCATATCCACGGACGGAAAGTTAATTAGGATAAAAAGCAGTCGCAGAATTATTTATCTAAATAGGTCTATCTACATTCAGTTCTGATTAAAGTAGTTGATAGTCCTTCAAGGATGACTATATGAGCTGATATAAGCTGAGGACGAAACACTGGCAACTCGACATGTGACTAGAAAAGAGTTTTTTTATGGAATAGATCGGCAAACGAGCAGACGGATTACCTGATGGTAAGCAATCAGCCGCTCATGGACACCTGCAACACCAAAAGAGTTACGAGTGCATTTAAGGATTGGGAAGGGATTGGAGGAGGGGTGATTGGACCTCCGGTAACCTCACTCAAACGGCGAAACACAACGCTGTGGTTGTTTCACTGTGGTTTTCTGTGAGGTCGTGGTATCACTCCGATCGAGCCGAAGCTTGGCTCTCCCACACTTAGATAGATGAGAAAAAGTAAGGTTAAAAAGGTTTTTCACGTATCAACTTGAGGTTGACAAAACGTTACGTTATGATAAGGTCGAATTCAGCCGGGGTTGCGGGGCAAGCGCAATAAGACCTCAGCCTAGAGCAGGAGAAGGAACGGGGTTTTTAGTCAGTAAGAGTCTGACACTCCTACCTTGGGCTCGAGAAATCATTCAAAAAATGACAAGGACGAAGATGTTCGTCTAAGCGGTTCAAAAGGTATTTTGAATCGAAATCGAAAATGTTCGAAAAATGAAAACTCCGATACATTCATCCATATCTACAGGATGTAGACTCGGCTAGGATATGAAATTATGCTTATCTTAATAATATTTCCTACGTATAATTGATTACAGTTGAAAATAGCCGAAGGTCTGAAAATAGACATTAAAATTATTGGTGCTTATAGACGGATTATATTACGGTTAGCTCAAAGCTTTACCGATCCACATTTAAGACTGCACGGTTGGTACGGTGGCTGGGCAACTGGCTGCCGTACAACGTGTCGCGGGTTCGATTCCCGCACGGAACAACTCTTTGTGTGATCCACAAATTGTTGTTCCGGGTCTGCGTGTCATGTGTATGTGAAATTGTATGTTTGTAACCGCACCCACGACACAGTAGAAAATCCTAATGTAAGGCATTTTATTCAAAATTTTATTCAAATTTTATATTGTTTGTAACGTTGTTAGAGTCTGTCTGTTTTTTACATCAAAACGGGACGAATTTTTGTAACGATATAGGCTTTGTTTTTATAAGACCATGTAGGTTATTCGTGGGAATTATATAGGTAGTTTACTTCGAAGACTATAGGGGAGTAAGGAGAGACAGGATTTTCCAAGGTTTCTATGGCAACGGGAATCATCTTTTTGGGGCGTTTGCAGTCGCTGGAAGAGGGCAGTGTTTTAAAAATCATAGACCAATAAGTCCTGGAGCCATTTTTGCCTATCCAACTAAAAACTTAAGCGCAAACAAGTAACAATAAAGTGCACAATTAGTGTCATTAGGCTTGTGTAAATATCTACTAGATAACAGTATGCCATTGAAGTGGTTGTGACGTCATACCTACGTCATTATATCATTCAAGCTATCAAATATACAGTTAGGTTAGATGTAGGACATATTCTGGTGCTAAAAACTTTTTCCATAAGACCAATATGGAAATCTCAAAAAAATACTTCTCCATACAAAATGATCGATCAGCTGTTGCTATGGGTAAATACACTTATTACTAGCAGACCCAGCCCCGCATTGCTGTGGCTAAGGTAAATAATATTGTGACTATAAATTGAGATGTACGCTATCCTATCTGTCAAGTTGGATTAACCGCACACGGAATGCAAATCAAATTTAAAATCGGTTTAGTAGTTTAGGAGTCCATCGCGGTCGCGGACGAAGACGTGACACGAAATTTTTTTTATATAAAGAAGAAAGAAGATTATGTTTTGGATTTGGTGCCATGAAAAAGTTGTTGTAATTGGGCTACAAAATCAGCTCCATCAATATGTTTTCGTTTAACCTAAGGCACTGTAAACGTTAGGTAGTCTGTTTTTAGACTGGGCTTATGGAAGCTAAGACTCGCGCATAAGTTATTTGATGACTTTTTCTACCCGAAAAAAACACATGTCGTCTAAGTCTGGTGTGGATCTTTCCTTTCTTTTGGACCTCAAAAAAATCGAAGCTTCGTACCGAAGCTTGATTCTCCCACGTTTTAAAATGCCCGGTAAAACAGAAAAGCATAAAAATGTTATAACTTTATTTTATGATGGCTGCGTTTTCAATGGTTAAAAGATACCTCGGGAATAATTATGATGCTGTCGCGTCAGAATGTTTGTATAAGACAGTGACAGCAACAATTTTATTCCTCAGATAACATTTATCTGTCTATTGAAAAATCAGCCCTTAGTCGAAGAGTAACTTCTTCCTCACTTTTTTACTGAAAAAAATATCAGCCAGGGTCGCGAATGCGCCATAATGTACCAGGGTAGGAGAAGGCTTCTTCCTCTTGCCCCACCCAGAGCGAGATGAAGGTATTCGATGATTTTCCTTCATAAATCTCCTACAAAAATCCACCTCTAACCGCGTTATTTTCGGAAAAAGGGATCCGAAAATTATTAGTTCCGATCTTAAGATTATTATACAACTATAATAATGCATTAGAAATTAATAAAATTACGACGTATTAAGGTTTATTAAAACCTTTAGCTTTTGTGCAGTGCTGATACTTCTCCACTATTTCATGGATGTTATTATACATATAAATCTTCCTCTTCAATCACACTTTCTATTAAAAAATCGCATCAAAATCCGTTGCGTAGTTTTAAAGATTTAAGCGTACATAGGGATATAGGGACAGAGAAAGCGACTTTGTTTTACACTATGTACACTGTAACAATAGTGGGGTGAAATAAACAATGCCAAAAAAGTAGGAAGCGATATCAAATCCAAAATTGGCATTTTTTGTCGTAACAGATATTTTTAAAATTCAAAGTTTTCGAATTGATTCGATGTGTGTCATGTGCTGGCTTCGACATTAGGATATGGGTAGTCTAGTTTACGCAACCAGAGGTACCTACACATGTGTAAATTATTGCAAAGTACATGTGACCTCGTCAGTTTAGATTTAAACAATAATTTTAACAACAAAACGATCCAAATCAATACTTTTTACGAAATTATGAAAAAAGAGGTTGCAATCTGTAACTCATAACTTTTACGTCAAATAATAATATAATCTATACATTTTTTTTTTAATTTTAGCTTAAAATCTACTGGAACTAAAATTCTATTTTTGAAATTAGTGGCCACATTTTTTGATTGGAGGAAATAATGGCACCGTTGTTTGGAGTACCTTTGAATTGAATTGTAAGTGGTTACAACTATTCAAAGAAAACGTGTCTTGATGATTATTTATCATCGTAGAATACTTAATGTGAGTGGCTATCTAAGTAGGGCATATAGATAGAAATAGGTGAAGATGCTACAATCTATGGGTATTAGGCATAGATACCAAATAGATGGGCATTTTTTTTTTGAGGTTCATATTTTCGTATACGACCTAAGAGTTTTATTTAAAAAACTCTTGCACAAGAAATATGACGAAATAATAATATTTGAAATAATTTGAGTTACAAAACAAACAGAGGGTCTTAAATATAGAGATGTATTTAAAAAATTGAAAAAAACGGCACATACCAACGAACTTTTTGGGAAGACTGCGTCCAATTTTTTCTTTTTTTTCCCTAAATGGTCAGTAGTAGAGTCGGCCACATAGACTCTGTGGGCGCGATTAAGTAAAGTATAAACCTCAAATGACTAACCTCAAGATAAAAACATCGGATTACATCGAAACAGTTTCTTATCAATTTTTCTGATATTTTTTCCTCGTTTTCACACGCACTGGTCGAAATATTCTATTTATTTACACTCGTTTAGAACGATAACGATTGGCCGGATATTATCGGATTCGTAAGCGATCGTGTGTGGTGTCTTGACTAGGGCGGACTCTAAACGATTTAAAAAAAAACTAAACGCACGTTGTTTGGGTCCCAAAATTAAAAATACTTAAACTATTTTTTTTTTACACAAAAATATTTATCAGTTCACTCCTCCGTGATTCACATAGTCCGATATTAAAGCCAACTTACTATTCCTTGTTATCGCAACACATTTTCCTGTACCTACTATTTTATTGAAAAAAATAGGCCCCAAAAACTATGTTTTTAATATCTTATCGGCATTTTACGTTAAACTGAGCGGTAAACATTAGCCCATGTTATGACCGATAAAAAAAAACTAAGCGCAAATAATCACAAGGTTTTTCAAATCACTTACCGAGAGTCGGGAGTTTTACAGTTTCCGTGCGGTCTAAACGCGAGCTCTACAATGGAGCTCCCGAGTACAAAGCCAAGAGCCAACATTTGGCCGTTCCCAAAATAGTACCATATAGCAGGCCCCAACTAAAGTTATAAACATTCCCGACGCACACATGCAAATACTCCAAATAAAAAAAATCAATATTTAAACAATCTCACTGAACGCGACGCTCGGCGCGCAGTAACTTGTGACTACACAGCACGACAATATGGTCGATGATCATTTTACTGAAAAAATGTGACTTTTCACAACCTTCGATTAAGGGAAAACTACGAAAATAGACATAATACTCACAGTTGAGAGGCCGGACCTCGTTCACATCACGTATGCAATTAGCGACTCGTCTCCTATTTTTTTACGATGGAAAATCAATAATTTTTAAGAGCACAAAATTTTGTTCATATTTTTCCGACGGGCCCCCGTTGCCCTGCGCGGTCTCGCTCCGACACTTAAAAATGAAAAACCCATTGCAAGAAAACTGTGGTACCGAAAGAGATGCATATACGTCGCCGATTGTAAATAATGATGAGGAACGAATCATAACAAACGAAAGAGACAGCCGATGGACTATGGAAGCGTTAACAATAACAAAATGCATTACGTAACAACAATAACACTGAATTATCACACCACTTACCGTTTGTTTCTGTAAATGTAGTTAGTTTCGCGATATAATATATCTTTTTACGCGTTTTTGCAACATCGCGGATGCATTTTGACGCGAGCAATCATCCGTCAGACGGACGCCATTTGCAATTTGCGTGCATTTGACTCTCCGCTCTTGTGTTATTGTTGGGTTGTTTTTTTCTGTAGTGTAGCAATATATTGACTCAGAAAAAATATAACAATACTTTTGTGAGACATGGAACGAATATTTTTGCAAGAAATAATTCATTTTGTCAAGTTACTTGTATTGTTTTGTAAAAATTGTTGTTTGATCAGATGGTGTAACTTTTATATTCTCGTGTGGCAACATTCTAAACTGTCACCTGTGTTTTCAGAGATTTGGCGGGATATTTGACATAACTACATACGTTAAGTGTAGAGTGATATTTTTTACAAATATTGATAGAAGTTTTATTTTGATTTTTTTATATTGAAAATTAGTTTGTAAGTTTGTGTGTCTTTCAGAAGTTATATTTTTAATACGGGTAAGTTTACAATTAGTTACTTACCTATTGAATTCTTGTTAATTTGTTGATTACTAGGTGGAGTTTTTACTTTTGTTACTTTTATTTTATCACGTAGGTAAGTTAAGAGTTGATGATAAAATATACTTACATTAGCCAGAATATACCTAATCTTAACCTTAACCAATGTATAAAGCACATTTCCCACCATTATTCGAAGGTAAAAATCTACTTTTTGTTGAAATATTATCAATGAATTCTATTCCTAGAGGAAGGTTATAATTATATCTCGGTACCTATGTCTAGACGATACATTATCTATAATCTATTAACAAAGTGTAAAAACCTAATAATATTAGTTACTAAACATTTGCCTGCAGTTTCGCTCCGTTTTGTTTTATTTGTGTCAAGAATGTCTCTATCTTTTGCGAATAAATCCTTCCTTGCGAGTAACTCTAATCGCCAAGAGGTCGGCAAAGCCACAGAATAGATTGAATATAACGAGAAAGCTCTCATAATGCCTTTGGTATAGGTAATCTGCCAGCTCTTTTGCCGCCCTTTTTAATAAAAAAGAACTACCATCACGATCGGCGTAAAATTAATCTTTGAATTCTATGAAAAGTAAAATTTCCAATAAAAGGAATGAATTTAAAAGCATAAGTGATGTTTTGTCAAATCAGTCTGTACTTTCGGAACTTCCAATGTAAAATCACCGTGACTCCTCTGGTGTTGCTGATGTCTACAACGGCCGAGTCATGGTACCACCACTGGTTGGTGGTTTGCTTTCTAAATGTGCGATGAACCGCCGAACACACTGCATCGAATATGTTAAGGAGTGTATGATATATATAGGTTGATTGTGTATTGGTAAAAAATCTGTCACTATAAATGAAATAATTTTGTATTTTAATTTTTCTCATTATAGTGGTGGTGCAAGCCATTCATGATGATGTTTTAGAGTGGTTAAGAAAAGACTCGTCATATCCCTAAGAACCCCCTAAAGGTTGGTAATTGCTTGGGTGTTGCAACTCCATGACCAGCACTCAGTTGCTTACCATCAGGTGGTCCGTCTACTCGGTTGATAGGTTGTTGGGTACAATAAAACTAATTATAAAAAATAAAACACATCCATAATAATGTACTCATTTAAATATATATTTATATAATAGTAATCTGTTACGTATTTTTACATAAATAGTCGACGAGCGCCGACGATTTTACAATTTATAAATAATTATTACAATAAATTATTTTTATTTATTATTAATACAGAAACACTATGATTTAGCAAATCTTTGGTTAAAAACAAGATTCCCTCGGCGAACATTCGAGTTAAAACAATATAACAATTGATAAAATTATACAAAAATGAAAACAACCACTCTGCCAGTCGCGTTTACATCATCGGATTTTAAGGCCGAGTCCGGAACTCGGCCTTATGATTCGGAGGCCGAATGCCGACATAAGGCTATTTAGCTAATATTTTTACACTAACCATTGACTAATCGCGGCGGATGTAAGCGCGACTTGTAAGCATACTTAACTATCGGCATTATAACTAAGTTACGAGACTTTGTAAAAATATATAAACGCCATCATCATCCCATTCTCTTACAGACATTTTCAAAGGCTGACTTATAAAATCACTATTCCCGCCCCTCGACCCCACCACCCCTAAAAAAGTCTATAAACCCACAAACCTAAGAAGTTTTATAATTTTTGAATGTTTAAATATTAATTCATTCACAAATCGAAGAAAATCATTAATTATAATGATTTTCTTCGATTTGTAGAGACGCTGGTGTAGCTTTAGGTCTAGTGCCTATACTGTCTGTGGGACCGTCAGCTTATAAAAACCAACACTTAATAAGTTGTATACAACACAGAAATCTGTTTTAATACTAAAATGAATGACTAGTGAAAATAATACGAGTAAATGTGTGTAAAAAGGTACAATTTAAATTAATATTAAAATATTATGTTTCAATATATTTATAGCTAAGCCACTGTGATGTAAATATATATTTATATTGAATTAAATGAAATAGTAATACTTCCATTGAAATATTAAAATAATAAAGCTCAAGAATGTGTTTCAAAGAACCCGCTAACATACAAGAGTATAGGTTCTAATTAACTAAGCCTAGTCTATTAGTCACGAAACGATTATAGACCATAAAATATCATTAACACCATTAGGAGCTGAGCAGCGCATTAAATTGCTTGGTAGTACTTATTTCATACCAAAAAACCATATTATACAAGTAGTATAAATAAAATATGTCTATCGGTCCTTTATAGATTAAATCCTTTTTTTTTAAAAGATTCCTGCCATAATTTCCATATAATATAAACTCTATATTTCTCTATGAAGGGCAACAGTGAATAGGTACACAAAAAAGAAACAAAAAAAAAGTTCTAGTGCTTCAAGCTATACTTTTAATATTATGGACGGGTGTGATCATAATCTTATATACAATATTTTATATGATAGCAGTGTTGTATACAACAGATATGCGGGCAATTACCAAAATCCTCATAATCACATCAACCATTATGCTCTCATAGGCCTTTCCCTAATGACCAAGCGACCAGCATCCAGTATCTGTCTGAGACCTTTATCAGTTTATCTTTACTGAATTTACTTAAAGTATCAAGAATGAATAGGTTATCCTACCAACCATCTTTTGTCATAATTAAAATTATAATTCCTTTACAGTTAGAAAGAGACGCAGTTATACTAACGTATAGCGCTATCTCTTTCTTTAAACTGTACTATATTTATATCCCTATAAGTACGGTAAAGCCTTTGAATATGTATTTAAGAAGAAGGGATACTTATTAAATTACAAAAACCACGTTTATTTACTTTCCAAAATCTCAGCGGTTCCGTATATCGAGACAAGCATTAACAATTCATATACATATATATATTATTTTATTTATTTATATATTTATTTTTATATTTTGAACACACTATGCTAATCCGCCGTATTGCTGTTCGAAATGTTATTTTATATAATTATATGGTATGGTACCGTATTTATAAATAAGTATTGTAGGGTAGTCAAAAATACTGCCATTGACAAAGTCTGGAACATTGTATTTCTAACCTAATTTTATTACAATGTAATTTATTGAAACTGTACTATTTCCCAATAAATTTAAACCTTAGTAAAGACTCCTAAAAAATTGTACTTGTAGGACCATATTGACGAACAAAATTAAAAACAAATCGAGGCAACATAAGGTTCGCAACCGAAAGTAGAAAAAAAAAATGTTGCTAGCTTATTATTCCACGTTATAAAAATACAGCACCACTAACATAAAAATATATAAAATAACAGTACAAACTCACGCTCCATCACATTCAAGTCATCGACCTTAATTATTTTGATTTTACTTTATTTTTGTACCATAATTATCATTCAAATGGCAATTTGTATATTACTAAAGCACTTACCTTCGGTTTCCTGAAGCCTTGAATCTAATATTATTAGAAAGTCAAAAATCTAACGAACCAAAATAATATTAAATCCAAGAGTTCATCATTCACAAAAAACCGTGGGTAGGTAACATAAATACAGACACGACGATTGACACACGATTTGGTCAGTCGTCGACGGGCAGCCGACCACGACGCACGTGCATGCCGCTATTATTTTAATAATAAATAAAAACAAAAATGCCATACGTTCGACATGTAACATGATTGTTTGTTATCAACGGTAGATATACAGGAACTCGTTTTAAATGTCCCACCACCTGTCGCACAGTTAGGAAAAATCATAAAAAAATCTTACTGCAATAAGCCTAAACCATAACTAATCATTTAAAGTACATTTTAAACGAAACTTGGTTTAAAAACTAAATATTTCAAATTAAAAAATGCAGTTATTGGTTAACTTATAACCGTGGTTTACTGTGGACGGGCAATCGAACATTTCACCGTTTGCTTTTTAACATGATAATAAAATGCATAATATCTATTTTTACAATCACACAATGACTTTCGAAAAAGCGCTACCTATAAAAATTAGAAAAAAAAACAATTATAATTAACAATAATAATATTTATAAGTGTATTTGCGTTTAGTAAATAAATTATGAGGGGAGGGATATGACAAATGGCAACGATACAACGGTGGGGTGATGTGGTCACACTCGATATACAATCATCAGAGTATAAAACAATTACTGAAAATCTGGCTCGTATTACTTTTGAAAGAGTTTCAATATTACAAACAGTACGGTACAAGGTACCTTGTAACTGGACGAGAAGCTTGCTCGATACATTTCGTATCAGACTGTTATATTCCAAAATATAAATGTATTTGTAATTTGGCTAAGCTTTCCTAGACTCATAACTTTTTGAGAAAAACCAATATATGTGAGTTTTAAACCCAGGTGTAACCACGCCACGACACCGTTTGAGAGAGTAATAAATTAATAAAATACAATAATATTAAATAATTAAACGTATTCTATCTAATATGTCCATAACTACAACTAGTTATTGGGTATATCTTGGTACATTTTTTTGAAGATATTCTAATCATATAATAATGTAACACTTTCAAGCTGATTCTTTAACAAATTACATTTGAATATAATCAATAATTGACGTAAATTTAGTCAATATTATATTAATCAATTCGATTAAACTATAAATTATAGATTTTAACATCCAAAATGATATCATCAAACATTCCAAGACATACGCAACAACTAGCAATTTATTGCATTGACCAAGTTTCAAAACACAACAGATTTTCGTAACAACGCCATCTAACGACTGAGTTTGTCATCATATTTTTTATAACGCCATCTAGTAATAGAAATAATCAGCTTACGCACAAAATGACTATCATAAGGATTTGTTGTTGTAAAACATTTTAATAACAAATCAAATAGAAATTTCTTATATTAAATAAACGACAGAAATTTATTTATTTTAATATTAAATTAGTTGCAGTTTCGCCTACTAGATGGCGTTATTTGATAAGGAAGTAAGAAGACTGTACATTTACAAATAGCATGTGTAAATAGAGGGCTACATTTATTTCAAACTCAAAATTGCATTGTATAAATACACGTATGTACTGATCTAACAATATTCAACGAGTTTGTAGTGACATCAACAGGAAAACTAAAAAAAGTAATAGCCATAGGACTGTGGTATATACACAATCTAATTTTCGCAATCTGTGCCTGCCTAAAGTATTGGCATCACTACAAATTCTTTGAAAAATACGTTCACAGAACGGCATGTCAAGCTATACTATTACTCAGTTTTGTCAACTTTATTGTTGCAGAGACAAAATTTATCACTAAACTAAAACTGTCGCCTACCGTCCTGTTTTCAAATATACAAAGATACGATCCTTCAAGAAGAAGAAGTACGTATACACACTTAAAAAAAGTTAAGGGAAATATTTTTTCAAATCTAGGTGACTAAAGGCGGCGCTGATCACATCAGATGATCTGTCAACTAATTTACAAAAAGAAACGTTTTTATACTTTTGATATTGTCAAAAGATTCTTTTTCACTTTTGATTTTCGCAAATTCTCGTATTGTGTATTTTCTCAAAACTATTGGCTATTTCGATCATCATTATTAAGAAATAAGTTATCATAAGAACAAGAAACGCTTGAGTTAAGTCGGGCAACATTTTATGTCGAGCATAATATCAAAATTACAAGTTTAATAGAAACTTGCAATGTATGTTTGTAAAGTGGAATATTACAACAAAATTTTGAATCAGATATCTTCAACGAATTGAGCTGTAATTCTGTATACTCGTTTAGTTTGCGTTACAATAATATGCTAAGCTGCATGACGTCACTCTAAAGCTTGTTTTTCAATAGTCAGATAAATGTTATCTGAGGAATAAAATTGTTGCTGTCACTGTCTTATACAAACATTGTGACGCGACAGAATCATAATTATTCCCCAGGTAACTTTTGTCTAACCATTGAAAAATCAGCCGTAAATTGTATAGCTTGACATACCATTTTCTAATAACTATTTTGTATATAAAAACGAAATCTTTTACTTTTACATAATTTATGTATATCTTCTTACCTCATTGATAAACTTGTACAATTTGAGTCCTTCATGAATAAGTACGGTCGGCCGGTATGACAAAAACTAATCTTTAAATTCATTGCAATAAAGACTATATTTCTTTAAACTGGTAATACAAGGTGTAATTTAAAGTTAAAATAATATAAATGCGAATAAAAGTTTGAATGTGATCTCTTTCTGTTGTTATTAATCTATTTAAGCAATATTTTTGTAACTTTGTGACTACGATAAGGATCAAAATCGCGTGACCAAGAATAGATAAATTTTTCACTTAAAAATTAAATTACACCCTGCATGTCACAGAAAAATAAACCTAACGTTTGAAAAACATAAAATAGTTTAGTTTATTCGGCTAACTTTAGTACAGCCTAAATGTTCCTATTGCACTTTGTACTATTATTTCCTTTAAGCTTTGTTTAAAAATATATTTAAGGCATTTCTTTTCACTATACACATACATTTGGCGCGTGAAAGAGATGACAATATTCTCACATAGCTCCATCCTTTTCTATCATTAGAAAATATGAATGTTTTTTTGAACAATGGACTGAGTATTAGCATTCGACATTTTGGAAAGAGACAAAGCGATTTTAATAACCTTTTTAAATATGTTACTAATATAACATTCTCAAATCATCATAACTGAGATATAGGTTAAGTTTACTACTGAACAAAGACCAACTATACCTGAAAGGGGGGGAGGGGATTAGTCAAAATACCCACGCTTGCCATACCAACTTGGGGGATCGCAGTTACATACCAAATAAAATTAGAAACGTTCCAAAGAATGGTCTTAAAATCGCTTCATCAAATTCATAGTCAAGATATTTCAATATTTTTGGGTCATACCGGCCGGAGTGTGATGCAGGCGGTGTCTGAGTAGTGGGGTGACGTGTGGGGGGTAAGGGGGGTTAGGTGGCAAGGGGTGCTACGTGTGTCGCGCCAACTCGTAGAACAAGACGTACGCCTCTGAAGACACCACATTGCGACTGTTTATTGGTGACACCCTGAAATTATTGAAAGAAAATGGTTATTTAATCGAAAATAAAATTCTAAAGACACTAACACCCGGTTTCTGAAAGGCTTGTCAGCGCTAAAATTAACTAATCTCCTGTTAAATCTCTTGTCAAGTCATCTGATTGGTTGTTGATAATTCAGTCAACACTAACAGAGTGATTAAATAAGTTTACACAAGCGCCAGGGTTGCGGGGTAAGCGCAATGAGGCACCGCGACCTCGGCCCAGAGTAGGAGAAGGAACGGGGGGTTTTTAGTCAGTAAGAGTCTGACACCCGGTTTCTGAAAGGCTTGTAAACGCTAAACTCGCACTCGCACAGCAATCTGATTGGTTGTTGATAATTCAGTCAACCAATCAGATGACTTGACAAGAAATTAAATTGATTTTAACATTGATGATCGGCCTTTCGGAAACCGGGGTTTACACTATGGGCGGCAGAACTGATTTGATGATGTTCCCGTCACAAAAAAAAAAACTGTCGAAATCCGGTAGTTTTCAACTAGTCAGATTTCAGAGTCATTAGATGATTTTTCCCTTACAAAAAAAAAACAAGCAATACTTACCGCGAGTCATTATACTCGTGCCATTCCCCAGTGTAGGGGTGCTTACAGTACGCCGTGTAGTGACCCGAGTATGTCGTACCTGTAATAAACAAACTTACATTTAACTGAAAAAAACTGGCGTGAAACAACGACAGCGTTGTGTTTCGCCGTGTTAGTGAGGTTACCAGGGACTTAGGTCCCTTCCCCCCAATCTCTGATTGTCCGAAAGGCCGGTAATGGACTCGTTTCTCCTATTGTGTTGCGGGTGTCCATGGGCGATTGTTTACCATCAGGTTATATGCGGATTAATTTACGGAAATATTATCTTCTTATATATAAAAATGGATCGCAAAATGTGTTGGTAAGCGCATAACTCAACAACGCCTGGACCAACTTTGATAATTCTTTTTTTGTTGTGTTTGTTACTGTCTGTAGAAGGTTCTTATCAAAGAAAATATTAGGAAAGTAGAGGGGAAGATTAGGAAAAAGAGACCTTTTGATTGCGAGATAGTTGGACCCGTGCGAAGCGGGGGCGGGCCGCTAGTTTATAATATATGTCTCTTTGTTATACGTCGATGTCAAACTTCACTGTCAACTGTCATAATTATTTTAAGTCTATAGCGAACACCGAGCTCTGGTAAGGCGGCCATCTTGTAAAACAGGACAATTAGCGTTGGACCTTCGTGGAATACGCACGCGGCCACGTGTTCGGTGGACGTTAAGTTGAAATCCAACCTAATCTTAATTATCCTTAGTTAAATTGTAATTGTAATATCAAGAGTTGTAAGAAGAGTGATTATAGCAACAGTTATTTTATCGAAATACTGTCTTCCTACCCGATAATCCGCGCCTAACTGAACATGTCAAATCATTCTAATCATAGTCGAAAGACTTTATATATTTAAGTCACAACGGAAAATGTCACCGTTTTGAGTATCGTATTTCAAGTCAATTAACATTTATTTCGACTAAACTAATGAAGCTAGGGGCTCGTTTCAAATTGTAAGTACCAATGTATATGAGCAAGACTATCGTAATTCACAAAATACGGTAGTTTCCAACTAGTCAAATTCAATACTTTTATCCAAACGTCAAAAACGATATTTTTCTATGGAATTTGTATGAAAAACTGAGTTATGACGTCATAGTATTTTTGCGTCAAATAGCTTACTTATTTCTTAATAATTAGCTAAAAAAAAATCTAAAACTTGGTGTATCGATCGATCGATGAATAAAAGTATAGTTATTTTTCAATATTTTATTGTATTGAAACATCGAATTAATTTATTTTTCACCTAGTAAACTACCCAATTGTAAGTACCAATGTAAAAGAACGAGCCAGACTATCGTTACTATCGTTATTCACAAAATTGGGGGGGATCTCCGTTCAGATGATGATGATGATGATGATAATAAAAAGGTGTATAAAGCTATCATACCGGAGTGGTTGCTGACAGCGTAAAGATTATAGACGGGCGCGGGGCCTCGCGTGGCGGCGTACGGAGACATGTCCAGGTTGCTCAGAGGAAACTCCACCAACACGTTCAGCTTGCCGCGGAAACGCTCCGTCGGGGAGAACCTGCAACGTGAAAAAAACATTTACATCTATACTAATATTATAAAGCTAAAGAGTTTTTTTGTTTGAACGCGCTAATCTCCGAAAGTACTGGTTCAAATTGAATAATTTTTTTTGTTTTCGTTGGTCCATTTATCGAGGAAGGCTTATGCTATTAAATATCATGCTACGATCTGTAGCAGCTGAGAAGCGAGTGAGAATGACTGACTGCACGGTTGGTACGGTGGCTGGGCAACTGGCTGCCGTACAACGTGTCGCTGGTTCGATTCCCGCACGGAACAACTCTTTGTGTGATCCACAAATTGTTGTTCTGGGTCTGGGTCTCATGTGTATGTGAAATTGCATGTTTGTAAACGCACCCACGACACAGGAGAAAATCCTAATGTGGGGCAACGTTTTTTTAAAAGAGAAAAAGAGAGAGAAAAATATACTTGAACCCTCCTCTTCAATCATTCCAGCTATTAAAAAAACCACATCAAAATCTGTCACGCAGTTTTATAGATCTAAGCATACACAGTGAAAGATAACGGATAGCGACATTGTTTTATACTATGTAGTAACAGTGAATTGCAGCGTGCACTTCTTAATTCCTCTCTACTTTAAATAAAACATTTATGCGAACCTTTTTTTAAAATTAAACAAACACAGCAAAACAAATAATTACCGGAATCTGTCTAGACGATAACGCGTGATGCCATGACCAAAAAAATTGTGATTTATCACTACACAGTATAAAACAAAGTCGCTTTCTCTGTCCCTATATCCCTATGTAAGCTTAAGTCTTTAAAACTACGCAACGGATTTTGATGCGGTATTTTTAATAGATAGAGTGATTGAAGAGGAAGGTTTATATGCATAATAACATCCATTAAATAGTGGAGACATTTAGTATCAGCATTGCACCGGTGTGAAGCCACGGGCACAGTCAAAAAGAAGTAAGAATTTCGAAAAATCGATGTTTAAAAGGTAAAAATTGTACTAAAGTCTTCAAACAGTTTTGTAATGATACATACCTCTTGAGATGAAGTACCAAAACCTGCGGGAACTTCTGTACCGTGAACCACTTCAGACACTTTCTGCGCACACCACACTTCGAACATGTCTGCAAATTAACATATAATCTTTATATATAACTAATATTATAAAGAAGTAAAAGTTGTAAGTTTGTATGTAGAGGGTAATCTTTGGAACCGCTGGTCGGATTGCCAAAATTCTTTCACTGATAGATAGCTACAATGTTCCTGAGTGCTGTAGGCTATAAAACATCATGCCACGATCAAATGGAGCTGTGCAGCGGGTGAAACCGCGCGAGAGAAGCTAGTTATATATAAAAATGGATCGCAAAATGTGTTGGTAAGCACATAACTCAACAACGCCTGGACCAATTTTGCTAATTCTTTTTTTGTTGTGTTTGTTATTGTCAGGAGAAGGTTCTTATCAAAGAAATTATTAGAAAAGTAGAGGGTAAGATTAGGAAAAGTGACCTTTTGATAGCGAGATAATTAGACCCGTGCGAAGCAGGGGCGGGCCGCTAGTACGCTATTTTAATACATCAGTACCTATTATAAGTTTTTTAATCATAAGTATGTTTTTAAAACTCCCATGGCACAGAAGAAAAACTTAAAGTAGGGGCAACGCTTTAAAAAATATCGACTTTACAAATATCGATTTGTTTTTATGATTTACCTTGATATGAATCAATATTTATTTTTGGGATAGTATAAGTATATGGTTATTTTCTTTTTATATTTAAATAAACATTAGTGTTACACATTCGTACATAATTGAACCAACTGTTTGTAAAAGGAATCTGTATGTGAAACTGATTTAAAAAGAGTAATCATGGAGTTTCTTGCTCGTTCTTCTCCATCGGAATCTACACTTTGGAAGGAGCAAATAGCTTCACTAAGAGAACTGACCGACAGACTGACACTATATCTTCAAAATTTTGTTTGACGTTCAAAAGTGCCTGTAAGGGTCTAATTGGAATAAATGATTGTTGACTTTTGAGTCATGCTCGACGAAATCGTGGATTCAAACAATGCTTGCGTTGTGATTATTCGTGTAAGTGAGGTGGTGAAGCCCAACCATTATCTCCAAAATCTAAATCCCCCAATCCTCAAATCTCAAACCCTCAAGGGCTGGCAACTCCTTTGATGTTGCCAGTGTCCATGGCTGATTGCCTACCACCATGTGACCGGAGAAGAAAATATTAATATGGTATGGTACTTACCGGTTTTTCATCGCCGTCGAGTTCCTCCTCGCGCGTGAAGTGGGACAGGCACTGCTGCAGCTTCAGGTTGCCCGTGCGGGACGGGATCGGCAGACTGTGGGCAGAGACATGTTCCCTTACAATACTCATCTATACTAATATTATAAAGAGGTAAAATTTGTAAGTTTGTATGTAGGGGGTAAGCTTTGGAACCTCTGGTCGGATTGCCAAAATTCTTTCACTGATATATAGCTACAATGTTCCTGAGTGCTATAGGCTGTAAAACGTCACGCTACGATCAAATGGAGTCGAACAACGAGTGAAACCGCGCGAGAGTAGCAAGTACATTTATAAAACGATTAGTTTCAAAGATTTTTATGTTTTTCTTTAAGTTTACTTAAATATTTTTATGAGCTCCGTGAAGTATCAAGTTTTCTAAGTAATATTTGAAGTGTGGGAGAGCCAAGCTTCGGTACGAATGGGTCGGCTCGATCGGAGTGATACCACGGTCTCACATAAAACTCGCGTGAAACGTTAGGTTAGCTTAGACAGAAAACCCAAAAGACTGACAACGCATATACGCTTCTGGTGTCCATGGGCGAGGCGCCGATTGCTTACCATCAGGTAATCCGTCGTCCTATCAGCTGAAAAAATCTACATAAAGAAGACCCTGACCTGAGATCCCAGAAGGGGTCGAAGGTGACGCTGTCGTGGTGGCAGTGCGTGCATCGCAGCGTGGACTTGAGCTGTCCGACGAAGATGTCGCCGACGCGACTGTCCTCCATGCGCAGGTAGCGACTCCACGCCTCCGCCGCCTTCGCTGTGTCACTGGAATGTTAAAAACAAATTCTTACTCATATTATAAATGCTAAAGTTACGATTTGAATAATAATTAACAGTAATAATAAAATAATTTGAGCAGATACTCGACTAGTTTCAAGCCTTCTAGAGGCCTATGAAACTAGTCGAGTATCTCGTCAAATTATTACGTGACTAAGCCGAAAACATAATAATTAGTTTAGAATGTCTCACGAAAGTTTTAATAAAAAGTTACGAAGTTTGAAATTTGGCACTCCGGAATAGGACATAGGCTACTTTTTATGAACATAACACGCAGGTGAAGCCGCGGATGCTTGTGCATAGTGATAGTAAGTGGATTCGGCTATCATTGTACCGATAGTCGTGTCACTCAATGGCTTAATAGCTAAGAGCCTCGACCAACACCTTAGGAGGCTCTCGTTAGGTGGCTGGATCAAGGTCTTGATTCAAAAAGTGGTACTCCTGGACACGGCTCGTATTGTCAGGAGGTTCCTCTCTCTGGAGCCCTGACCGTGGTAGCTCAGGACCCTGTTCCCGATACCGGTGGGAAACTATTTTTAACCCCCGACGTAAAAAGAGGGGTGTTATAAGTTTGACGTGTCTGTCTGTCTGTTTGAGGCATCATAGCTCCTGAACGAATGAACCGATTTCAATTTAGTTTTTTTTATGTATTACAGGTGTTTTACGGGCGAGTGTTCTTAGACACATTTGATGAAAATCGATTGAGCCTTTTAAAAGTTATGGAGGGTTAAAGTGGGGAAGAAAAAAACCGAATGTCTGCAAAAATGCTCAAGTGGGGTATCAAATGAAAGGTTATGACTTGTACGTCACAAAAAACCAAAACTTTAATAAGCTTGACGTGTCTGTCTGTCTGTCTGTGGCATCATAGCTCCTGGGGGCGTATTACAACCTTTTTAAAATCCAGTTTGTTTCCTGGCAGGTCAGTTTAAGGCCGTAAACTGCATGGTTCTTTTTCGTATTATGACGTACGTTTTTCTGACTGGATTCATCCTGGATGATTGTCTCTGGTTGGTTTGTACCGTCTTGAAAGATTGCGTTCGAAAACATCTTAAAAGGGTTACTGGTATATTACGGTTTTTTAAAAATTGAATGTAATATATTATATAATGTAATTTTCTAACAGAATCGAGATTAAGAATGAGTTCAAAAACGAATTACGTATAATATGCGTAATTAGAATGTCATAAATATGAAAATACAGCACTGTCTTACAACATACTTTTTTGACATACGCTACATTTCTGAACTTAAGTAATGGTAGGTAGGATAGGTGATAACAGCTCACCCGGCAAAAATATTGTTTTTAAATATTGTCTACTCAATAATGGCGTAAGTATTACCTACATTATTTATAATAAATACGAAAGTTGCTCGTTATTTCAAATACTGAATAAACCGTTTTACGTTTATATATTTACAGAAGTGCAAGGAATCGTAGTCACAGAGTATCCTACGAACAATTGGACCGTTTGTGGGAGTTTTTAAACTCTCACAGGGACTTGGCAGTCGGATTTAATAAATCGGCGCAAGCACGGGACTATTCGAAAAGAATGTGGCTTTCCATATCGGAGACGTTGAATTCCTTGGGGGAAGGTGCAACCAAGGACTGGAAAGGGTGGTCTAATGTGAGTATGTTACTCATTTAGTAAATACAGTGTTGTACACATTTTTGAAAAATCCTCATCATCTAAACATGTATCCGGTTTGAATCCATGATAACCATCCTCGCCAAATCAAGGAGCATTATAATACAACCTTGAACCTTGATTTGGCAAGTGTAGTTAAGTACTTTTTACAGATTATATGGGGTAGGTAAAGCTATTTACTTTTATTTTTTAAATATTTGTATTTTTCTTTTTTAGTATTGGGTAGACTATAAGGCCAAACTGAAGAGAAGAGTGGCAGCCCTTCGTACTTCACAAAACCGTACAGGAGGTGGCCCTGCTGATGTCAATCCCCTCAGTGACGTTGAGAAAAAGTTCTTGAGTTTACTTGGGGAAGGCTTCGGAAGTGGCTTACCAAATACTCAAGTGGACCCATTTCCAATTGTAAGCGTTTATGTACTCATACCTTTTATGATTTGTATTGTTCAATTTGTATACTAAAATTTATTTTCGTGAATATTTACAGCTAACTCCACCCACCACGCATGTTGGACCCGATGATGGACAACCACAGCCACCACAGCCACAAAATGACCAAGAGTCGTTTTCTTACGATGGCCCTCAAACTGTAAATATAGAACAGCCACCGTTATCACAACAGGGTGCGCCGTCTATACAGGAAGAAGAGTCATCTGCACAACAGGCGCCTGCCCAGTCCCAGAGACTAGCAAACATTCAAAGTCGACGACGAAGCAGACGCCCATACTCTATGAGCCAACAACTGGCCAGAGAGGCTTTGGTGGAAATTTCGAGAGACAGACTTTTGGCAGAGCAAGAAAACTCTCGGTCACTAAGAGTTATTGCCGAGACACTGCAAGGACAACAGCAGCTCTTGCAAAACATGTTGGGAACTTTAAATAGAATAGCAGCAGTTATTGACAGGTAAGAGAAATATTCAGATTTGTTTTGTTTCGGAGCCATATGTCAACACTGGCGACTTTTATATTGAGGCACTGTGGTATACTGGATGAAAAGACTGTGCAGCTTCCAGAACGCTGCCCAGCAGAGTAGGATTCGATGATTGACCTCTTTCTCGAAGTTAGACCTACCCAACTGGACTGTTTGCCCCAGGTAAACGTAATTGTCTACAGCATCGAGTATAGAATCTCAATAGGAATGGGTGTTATGATAATAAAAAGATAACTTTGATAACATACTTTAATATACACTTAAATATTTTAATTAATAGGAGCATTGGACCGAGAAGACCAGAGACGAGAGATGAGAGCATTCCGGACAGTTAAGCCTTCACTCAGTTCCCTATTCCTTTGAGAGGTAGCAGCAGATTGTTGGTAAGTGTCTGTATGGACCTGGCGAGACTCTTCTAACAAAGCTTCCTCATTGGTGAGTACTTGCACAGGGATATTTGCACCATTGCAAATGTTGTGTAATACTACACAGGCATTCACAATAGATGCTGCCACAGGGGGAGCATAATGCAATACCCTATGCACAAGTAAACATCGGAACCTAGCTTTAAGGAGTCCGATGGTCCTCTCCACAATGTTTCTTGTCCGAACATGCACACTAGTGTAGTGAGCTTCAGGAGTATCCGGGGTGACATCGGTTACTGGTGTCATCATGTAACGTCTTAATGGGTACCCAGAGTCACCTAGAAATAATGAAAATATCACCTTAATAATTTCAAACAAACACAGAATAAAAGGAGGAGTTAGAAATAATAATACTTGTAAAATATATTTACGCACCAAGTAACCATATACCTTCATTTCTGCTAATAAGCTCCATGTGCCCTTTTAGCGGATGGTTTGCCCAGATAAAAGAGTCGTGAGAAGCTCCACCAAAACTAGCATCCACACTAATTATTTGCATGTCTGCATTACTAATCTAAAATTAAAATTGTTTCAGATTAATTCCAAAGAAACAAAGAAAAAAGATTATTCTTAAGAAGATTATTATTAGAGATTGAAGATTATTATTCTTTTAATAAATGACACACGTTTTATAAAGTTTGATGTTTTTATTTTAAAAAGTCTTACCAGTTGGACATTTAGCGAATGATACTGTTTTCTGCAGTAATATCGTTCTTCATTTTCTACGGGCCGTACTATTGCAACATGTGTGCAATCAATACACCCTAATACTCCTGGCATATTAAACTTATTGTAGAATCTAAAATAGAAATATTTATTTATATAGATAAATAACCTATGTGTCCAATTCACAAACATAAAAAAACAATAATATGGTAATCTATTGCTAGTTTTCTTTCTCCATACTTGAGGGTTAAACAACTTCATAAAAAGCAACTATATAGCTATATCTATAACTATGCCACATAGAGTACTTCATGTGAGCTGTTGGCACTTTATGTAAGGTTACAACCACACCGCTGCTGAATAAAATCTTTTTAAAATAAAATTAACTCACTTTAACTTGATCTCATTTCTTTCCTCTTGAGATCTAGGAAATTTTATGTACTTTGCTTGAATATGAGGTGAATTCAATAATTTCGTAATCTGCTTTATCACCACGGACACTGTAGGCTGCGCTACAGAGTGTGCAGATATATCACCAACAGGGCGTTGATACGACCCCGTAGCATAAAATGATAATGCAATTAACACCTGAAAGAATAATTAATTTGTAAGTTTATTGATTTCATTAAAGTACACATACCCAAGATACAGAATCTAAGACTAAGTAATGGCTAAATCTATTATAATTTGAACAAACTCTAAAATTACCAACCTTCCTTTCAATTGGTAAGTCCGACGACCTTGTAGAGCCAGTAGCTGCATGAGGTCGCAGTTCATCGCATAAGTTGTGGACTAATTGTTTATTAAGCCTGTATCGCTTAATAAATTCAACATCTTCAATCGCAAAAGGGTCACTAAGATCTCGAAGACGCGTCCTCTGAATTTTTGTTTGGTGGTTATCTTGTGACGCATCACTTTCAAGAAACTCGAAGATTATTAACTCATCACACATATTTAATGTAGTAGTAAACAGTATGTGATAAAAACTTAAAACAATTCAGTAAAAGCTACTCGACACCGGCGTAAACTGACTGGTTTTTTTGACACAATTTTTGACATTTGAGCAAGCTAAAAAATGTCAGTTTGGTGGTCATAATACGGGTTTGCCAGCCAATATACGTGCAGAAATCGGTCAAGTGTCACGTGACTGCTAACTGACTGGCAATAAGACGTCATAATACGGATAAACAAGGCAGTTCATTTTAAGGTGTAAATTGACTGGAATTAAGAGATCGTAATACGCCCCCTGAACGGATGAAACGATTTCAATAAAGTTTTTTTTTGTATTATATACTTTTTAAAGGTAGCTTATTTTGTGTCGGAGGTTTTTATAAATTTTTAATTTATATGAATCTTGTTTAAATTAAATATTTATGTGTTTAATAAAGTGGGTAAAACAGTACAACATACCTAAGGTTGTCATCGATCTCTGTGAGGATGGGTTTCGGTTTGACGGTCACTCGGTTCACGTCTTCGTGTAACCCTTCGAGCAGGTAGCGGAGGAACTCCTGTTGGGAGAAATTTATTAAAACATTAAAAACACGGCACTACGAAGCATAAAACTACATATCTAATGATAAGCAAAAATAAAGATAACTTCTTTAACATCGAAGAGTGCGTTGGCGATCTTTTGGGGATTATGGTTTTGGAGATTTAGGTATTGGGGTAGGTGAAGGATTGGGCCTCCGGTAACCTCACTCACACGGCGAAACACAACGCTGTGGTTGTTTCACGTCCGTATTCTGTGAGGCTGTGTTGTCATTCTGGTCGAACCGATCCATTCGTCGGAAGCATGGCTCTCCCACACTTTACTATTAGAGACTTGAAACTATTCGATATTTTCTCAGTTAATTCAGTGAGTACGTCGTTATTTTTAATACATATATCTTGTTTGTGTTAGGATGATTTTAAAAACGTACTTTCTAATTTTAATTTGATGAGCATGCGATTACGCTGTTGCTAAGCAATCAGCGACGGCCATGGACCCCCACAGCATCAGAGGAGTTATGAGTCTGATGCCCGCCTTTACGAAGTAACAGATTACAGAAAAGTGGGGTAAAGGGAGTATAAGGCCTCCAAATATAAGATTGCTTGTTGTGACGTGGGTCATTTCTCTCAAATGATCCTCAAAGTTCAAATTAGAAAGTTTCGAACCGTAAATAACTAGAAATCTATAAAAAATAAACTTTTTTTTGGTCATCGCATCACATGTGAACTGATTTTTTAATAATTTTTTTTTGTATATTTGTTTGTTCTTTCCTATCACGGGACCACAGGGTCCCGGACCTTTGGAAGGCGTACGAGGAGCCGAAGCCAACTCGCAGAGGCCCGTTGAACAATTTTAATCTAAATGTGATGAGACATCAGCCGGCAATTATCCCTGTATGCACTATAAAAGTACACCCAAGGACAATCCCCGATTGATGTAAGACTATTGTGCAAAATGGTAAAATATTATGGGTGTGGGTAGCTATGGACTGGTAGATGATAACTATGGAAAATTGTATATTTAATTGTTATAATAAGCATCACAAAAGAAAATCGGCTTGAAGCAACACTAGCATTGCTTTTTGCCGCGTGAAGAAGATAGAATTGGAGGCTCAAACACTGACACTCTTATTACTAGGTAATAAGGTATAGTTTACCTGTGCATCCTGTTGGCTGTATCCCATGAAACGGGGCGCGAACCTCTGCACCTGCGACTTGAGCGCCGTCGTGTTCACCACCGCATCCTTCTCACCGCTGCGCCATAACTCTTTTATCACTATACCGAATGCTGAAAACAAATAATACATATCTAAAATATAATTTATTGGAAATAACGATTAAGGGCTGATTTTTCAATGGTTAGATAAAAGTTACCTGGGTAATAATTATGATGCTGTCGCGTCACAATGTTTGTATAAGACAGTGACAGCAACAATTTTATTCCTCAGATAACATTTATCTGACTATTGAAAAATCAGAATATACACACTTAAATTAACTGAGAAAAACTAGAGTATGTTTGTATATATTATAGTAGCTTTTGCCCGCAAGATCGCCCGCTAGGTATGTTCTATGGGCGTCCCAAATTTCATCCAGATCCGTCCAGTCGTTTAGGCGTGATGAGTACCAAACATCCAAACATCATAACATATAATTTTCGCATTTATAATATGAGTATGATTGTAACTTGTATGTGAATAATACACACATATAGTGTCCGGTAAAGAATGGATAACCTTGCAATACCTTTAAGTATATCTTATGGCCAATCAAAAAATATACAAAAAAAATGTAATGAACGTTAAAGGATCATTTTGTATAACCTCTAGCCTGAGTTCTTTTACTTCAAGACATAATAATTTAGGTACCACCTATGATACTTTCCTTTTCGTTGTTTTTTCTGAATGGCCAAAGGATATACTAAATGGCATTTCAAGGTTATCCATTCTTTACCGGACACCCTGTATATACGCATATATCTTGTATGTAATGTCTCATATAAAATTAAGTCTGTTTGCTTGCTCCTTGCACCAATAATTCGCTCTTCTCTGCATCGCCCAAGTTTCGACTGGTAGAAAATGCCTAAGGCATTAAGTCCGCCTATGTACCATTGTGCATGAAGTTTAAATAAAAAAAGCTTCACTAGTTTCAAGTCACAGTTCTTTTTCTGAGCAATGTGCTCAAAAGGCAAAACAGACAAAAATTTGTTATATATCACGACAGTTAAGCAACATATTAAAAAACACTGTATTTTAACCAGTGAATCGAACGGTGACTTTAAGGTTTACTAAACATTCGGTATACTCTTTCTATTTCTTTTTTAAAAACCTTGCGATTACAAACATACAATTTGACGTCACATCATACCCAGACCGGGAACAACAATTATGTTTACCTTCACCGTATGTCAGTGGTGTCTAAATAATCATATATAAAGTACATATGACTCGGAAAAATCACATTGCTACTTTTTTTTTTATTCAATAGGTCGGCAAACGAGCAGACGGATAACCTGATGGTAAGCAATCAGCGCCACCCATGGACACTCGCAACGGAGGAGTTACGAGTGCGTTGCCGACCTTTTAAGGATTAGGGATTTGGAGATTAAGGGATTAAGGAGGGATTGGGGGAGGGGAAGGATTGGGCCTCCGGTAACCTCACTCACACGGCGAAACACAACGCTGTGGTTATTTCACGCCGGTTTTCTGTGAGGCCGTGGTATCACTCCGGTCGAGCCGACCCATTCGTGCCGAAGCATGGCTCTACCACACTTATAAAATTGCCATTGCCAAAATTGCCATGTTCCTCATGCATGAGAAGTAGGCGCCTTAACCTCCTACCACGACATTTCTGACAAGATTAATATATATAGTTACCTTTAATAAGAGCCCCCTTCATGCAAGACAGCGTGGTGTTGATGTCGTCAGTGTATTTATCATCGGAGAGGTACTCGAGCAGTGGCTTCGTGTTTGATAAGCATTGGAGCACGCTGTTCATGAAACATGTGTTGCCTATATTGCGGAGACCGTTCAAACCTGCAAGTTTGAAAAAAAATATTATAATTACATTTTAACGATAGCTAATGAGCTGTCGGAGTACCTGATGGCAAGCAATGCTAAAGGACACCTAGAATGCTAAAGGAGTTTCAAATGCGTTGCTGCCCTTTTGGGGATTAGGGTAGGTAAAAATCAAAGACCAAATCCCCTTCAATAGGTATCATCATCATCAGCTTGTTGTCGTCCACTGCTGGACATAGGCCTCCCCAATTGCACGCCACTGAGCTCGATGTTCAGCTCTTCTCATCTATATAATAGGTATAGTACTTTTGAAACTTCAAAATAGAATCTGTCAGGACACCCGCAATGCTAAAGGAATTTCAAGTGCATTACCGCCAATTTGGGGATTTTGAGTAGGGGAAAGTCCAGAGTCAAAATCATTTATACCAACTTAACCTTAAATAGGTGTTTTGGAACGTTTAAATTGAATAATAGTCTGTCAGTCTGTTCGTTGGCGAAGCTAGGTGCTAAAGGTTTAGGCTTTTGGTAACCTCACTCACACGGCGAAACACAACGCTGTTGTTGCACACTCCGGTCGAACTGACCCATTCGTGCCGAAGCATGGCTCTTCCACACTTCCGCCCGCGTGATATGTTGCTAAAAAGTAGCCTATGTCCTATTCCGGAGCGTATCCTATGCTTGTGCCAAATTTCATATCCAGATCCGTCCGTCCAGCCGTTTGGGCGTGATTGAGAAACAAACATCCAAACATTGTAACTTTCACATGTATAGTATTAGCAAGATATTTCTTCAAACTTACCACTGGTATGACTAGGCTGTTTGTCCGTACGTCCTTCAGAAACGGACTCGGATCTCTCGCTGCTCCTGCGCAACCCACTGGGCCCACTCTTACCACCGGCCAACTCCTGTCAAACATACAAACGTCAGAACATTTTTTGACAAAACCACCATTTATGTCGCGTGCGATTTTTCGTCGCAACTTATTCAATAAAGCAAATATAAATAGCATAATAAATAATACACGTATGGTAGGAAAGATTCGAAACGAAAAAATGAAATCAAATATTGCGACAAAAATGTGCAGCGACTTTACAAAAACACTATGCACATGCGTTCCACTACATACACGAAAAACGCAAGGGTAACAATCGATTGCAAAAAACAGAAAACGGAGAAAAAAAATCGGGAAGTGGAACGAAAGGCATTCTGGACAAGCAAAAACGTAAGTGATTAACTTTCATCATGCAAATAAATAAAAAAAAACAAACGAAAACATAAATACAGTCTATGGTCCACACGTGAATACATCGCGATCAAAACAAGACCAATTTGTAAAATAGACAACTGTCAATTTTGACGTTTCCGTCTGCCAAGTTTTTATTTTGTTTTTATCGCTCAGTACAAAAAAAAAAAACTTACCGAATTAAGATAGGTATTTAAATTACTTACCGAATGCCTTCTTGTGTTTCAGATAAACAGAGAAATGAAAAACCACAAATCTAGGGAACAAATTTTATGTAGGACAGGACAGGACAGGAAGACAAAATTAGCCGACGGATCACCTGATGGTAAGCGATCAGCGCCGCCCGTGGACAGCTACGACGAAAACTTTTAAAAGGAACAACCTCATTTATTGCAGGTTTTGAAGTTCATACCGATTCGGACCAACAAGCTAATACAACTTCGTATTAAACCCATTTTTCTACAAGTCATAAAATACTTATTTCGGAGATATTTTGGCAGCAACTACAATACACCCCGCTTTATCCACAACGACCGAATCCCGTCGCTAATTAGGTAAATCTCTTTAGTAATACATTATCAATCGTACACTTGTGTAATAAAATGGAAGAAGTATCAATTAAATATGTGATTTAGCGACCAATTTTCGTCGTAAACATTGTCGAAACTATGCGCCCTAACAGAGATCTTAAATGACCTATAATAAAAAAACGGGGAAGGGCTGAAAACATGCGATCTCGTTTAAACAAAGGAAAAAAAACTTTAATAGTAAAAGTATTAAGACAACTGGCATGCTAAAAACCAATGTTAGTCAATATGAATTCTTGAGTAACCCGAAACATATACCAAGTAAAACCAAACAAAAAACTTAAAAACGAAATATTTGCGACAATCAAAACGATTCGACGCTAGACGAGAATTTTTCGTACCACGCACAAACTTGTACGATTTTTTTTAATCCCATACTAGCATAAAACCATTCTTTAGGTTGTGCCCAGCGTATTTTGGTGAAGGTTAAATGGGGCCTTGCAATTGTTAAAAAGGCATTACTGTCGATTCTATGGAGTCGAAGTTTAAAGTAGCCACTTGAAGTTATAAATAATGATTTTTAGAAGACGAATATAAGTGGTTCAGTATTCTATTACGCTTTACGCTAACTTTTATATGAGATTGGTCGGGTAACGAGCAGTCCTATTATTTGATGGTAAGTAATCGGCGCCGCCCATCAACACCTGTAAAACCAAAAACGTTCCGAGCTGTGAGAGTTTGGGGTAAGGGTTTCAGATATTTAAGGATTGGGAAGGGATGCGCGGAGAAGGAAGGATGGGGCTTCTTAAGTAGATTCCATTGAACCACTATAACTTACAACTCAAAAAAAATTAAAACGATCGTCATATTTGCAAAACACGACCATATTTTGTTGTAATACCTAAAATTCTGAAAGGTTTAAAATGTGTAACAAAATCTTTGAAAACGACACAAATGCATCGTATCCCTACTTTAATATTTCCACTAAAATTACGCTAGGCACATCCCAACGACTATTTGTCGCATAATCGCGTACCATCCGTGCAAACGTCACCGCCGCGAGCTGGACCGCGTAGCGGCTGTGCTCGCGACCGCTGAACACCACGCGTCGAGACATACGACCGTTAGCGACTTGTGCGACTTGTCGTGACGTCTGAGCCCGAGCTTATAAACAAAATTCACCGAAAACATTAAAGACGACATCTTGAAAACAGAGAAAAATACAAGAAAGAAATAACTACTAAATACTAGGTGATAAACTATGCGTGGTATCAAAATACAACCAAAATTTAACTAAGGCAAATGATGGAAAAATAACTTACTATGCTATAAAAGCTGTCTACATTGACTTGGCCTGGCTTTCTGAAACCACATGGGGTAGACATGTCACAACGTGTCTACGCGGACCGTTTACAGCTTTTAATACTACTTCAGACTGACAAGTTCGGACAAGGGAAGCAAGGGATGGACTTTAGCAAGAAAGTGAAGGAACTACAGTGTGACAATATTATAAAATGGAGCGTGAAGAAAATTTAAAATTGCATCCACAAATTCTCTTCTGGATAACTTAGGACTTAAATTTTCTTTGAAACAGAGGTCTTCTACCTTATATTTAACTATGTAATACGTATAAAACATTAAGGGAAGTAGTTACAGTCATCGCTGAGATAAACAATCATCAATAGTCTTAGAGCACCAGTAAATAGAAAATATTTTATAATAGATGTATGTGAAATTGACTGCACGGTTGGTGCGATGGCTGGACAACTAGGTGCTGCGCTAGGCCCTCTGCTCTTTGTGTGATCCACAATTCATTGTTTCATTGTATGTGACATTGTATGTTTGTAAACGCACCTACAACATAGGAAAAATCCTAGTGTGGGGAAACGTTTTAAAAAGAAGAAGAAAAAGAAGTATTGTGCGTTTTAGAACGCAACCACGTCAGGAGAAAATCCTGGGACTTGAGTTGAGTCCTTAAATTAATCTTATAGGAAGCTTCAGCATATCATAAGAAGAATCCGTGAAGCTCGCATAAGAATGCGGAAGGAAAATTTTAGAGCAAAGATAGGGTCGTGCGGACAAAAAATCACATCCCAACTAAAGTCCATCCTTTTAAATGACCCAAACTTGTACAGTAAAAAATTTCGACCAACAATATTCCATAACCACCTGGTAAGTATTGACCCCATAAGTTCGCCCTCCCACAATCGGTAGTCGTGGTTGCGATGGCCTTGGGTGCGCTCGACTGGGCTGCGGCGCGACGCTGCGGGGCCGCGGCTCGAAGCACCGTCGACATCCACACCTTGATCATGGTCTTCCGATATCAGATATGCTACCCTCATACGCGATTTACATACGCAATACTCTTCGGAAAACTGTTACCAATGATAGAGAAACTATATAGGTGTAAAAGAGAGAAATGCAAATTTTGACATAGTATCTACTTCTGTGAGTTTTTCAAGGATTCGGTGGGTTTTGTGAGAGCTGAATAGGTACCTAGGCATTACACAGAGAACAGTGTCCTCAGATTTAAACTGCCACCCCCAAGCCGCTTATGACACGTGGAAACTGTGGCATAATCTCTCATGTAGGGAGACCTATTAGCAGAGTACTATAATTAATTGGAGGTTGATAATGAGGTCAAAAATTGTAGATCAACCTCAAAATTGGGTTGAAACTGTTACCAGTACCGCATATGCAGAAGTGGGGTATTTGTGTGCGCTGGTGTTCTATGAGACCTTAACAGGATTTGCATACAACAAAAATCCTTTTTTAAAGAATTTTGATATTGACCTACGGACGACGGCGACGTGCCCAAAAAAAAGATAAATTTAAACCATGTCATGTTCATTTTGTTCGATAACAATTCACTAGGAATGAAATACTTCAGCGAAAATCAGGGCAAGAGGCAAAAAGTATCGTCTCTTTAAACCTCAATCAGCTATGTGTCAGTGTCATTAGAGTATTACGTATGTAATCACGTGGTCCAAATGTCAAGGTGGTTCAAATACAGCAAAATATTTACCTCATGGCCGAGCGCAATCAGGCCCGTTGTCAAGCATGCTAGTATCACCAAGGCCTCGTAGTAAGAGAGCATATAGCTTCCTAGCAGACAGTTCACTAATTCGTCCTTCGGTGGGTGTCTTTTTGTATCTTGTATTTATTAGATTTTTTTTAGATTTTTCAAAAAAAGTACTTTATTTTGCGAAGAATGATCACGACAAACGATGTTTCCAAATTTATTTTTATTGAATAGAAAATAAAAACTTTAAAAATTGAAAATTTCGTACCAAGGTATACAAAGGATCCAAATGTGGGATAACTTTGTCAATACTAAGAATTTTAAAAACGGAAACTTGTCTAAAACTCCACTTAAAGGATAAACGAAAACTTGTACAACTAAAAACAAATTACTTTATAATTATAAGGTTTTTATAGTCTGTTGCTGAGTTAACTTAAAAAAAGTTTTTTATGGTTTATTTATTGACACTTTGGACGACACAATAGTCTATGCACATAAAGTTTACATCTCAGACGGGACTCTTCGATCATACAAAAAGTTTCCACACACTGCAAAAACCGTTTTCAAAACTTTGAACGCATCGTAATCACTTTCAATTTTCAAAGGGCAAAGCCCTAAAAGAGGTCACATATAAAAATTAGCACTGCATTGTCTTTGATCGCGGCGAGGAGCTGATTGCTGTCAATTTTGACAGCGGAATGCGCGGGAAAAATGGCGTTTAGGTTATACCGGCGGGAAATTGCATTTCGGCAATTATTTACGTTTGAATTGAAGATTATTTCGTGCGGTTTGCGGTATGGTGGCTGTTCGGAGACTACTGTGGCGCCGTTCGGAGTGTGTAAGCCAAAAACTGATGCCAAATTTCACAATCAGTTAGTACGTAACGCGTGGTGATAATAAATATATTTTATTCACGGCGCTCACGTGGCCTGAGGTTGAGGAGCAAAGGGGTGTGACTGTGGATGTGATGGACACTGGCTGGGAGACAGATTGGCGGCCGTGGGCAAGGGAGGTTGGCTATAAGTACTATATTCGTGATGTAATAATCTCTCACCTGCCTATAAACATCATAAACCGCAAATAGCCGAACTCATGTTATGATGTCTCTCAATA